AAATGTACCAGATGTTTTCCAACAGCTCTGCATATGGAGGCACCTACGCTCAGCAGGGATCCCACTGTAAAAGGAAACCAGAGACACCAACTCTGCTTTCAACCATAACATAAAGAATGGCCTATAAATACATATTGTCTGGTAAAAGTCTTATTTCCATTACTATTTTTGAATCCTTTCAAGAAGGCATACCTAGTATCCCGCAGAATTTGGCGTCCCTGTGCATCTGTACATAAGCTCATACAGACCTACATAAATGCTTACTATGAGTTAGCATCTGGAAATAAATATCTTCTTAATGAATTAATTTCAGTCCAGAAAGGTACCAATAAGTCTATCACTAAAAGTTCCTAAATGTGGTTTTTCCTCAATATAAAATACTTTCTTTCTAATCATCGATTCCATTTTAATCAAATTATTCTTATTATAAAGAATAGTTAAGGAACAATAGCCCCCTCACAAAAGTTTAAACATTGCTGTCGAATTAGGATTACTAGAATAACCTTGGTTAGCTTTTGTGTTTGTTTTTGAGGAAGAATTGGCTGTTTCCCTCCTCTATTTTTGTCCTCTCTTGGGAAGTTCATGGACTAACTAGATAAATATCAGAAATAATCATGACCATTTTATACTATACTTTCACTAAAAATTTTACTTCATTATTTGTATAGCCTTAGGATATCCTTGAAAAACAAAATCTCTAGCTTTATCCTCAGAACCTCTCATTTTATCCGTAACATTATTGTGTATGTTTGTCAACAATCTCACTCTGGATTCTGAATAGAAGCTTAGCCTCTGTAAATATCATGATTCTAAAGATAATTTTAACCATTTAGCAGGCCTGATAATTTATGGTTATTATATTCTTTTTTGCTTTACAATAGGATGTGGATATACAATTTTGTGAAATAAATAATTACATCTCTTCCTCCCAATAAATACGTATGACTCGTGAATCTGTTTGCTGCATGAATAAATTCTGTAGTGGTTTGAATTCCCCACGATCTCAAAATGCACTGTAGAGGCCAACTAGGCCTCCCTGCCACTGTTGAGCATATACAAGGGGTCAACACAGAAGATAATAGGTGTTCCTCTTCAGGAGTAAGCCTAAACTGTCCAGAAATGCAAACTGAGAATGTCTTTTTGTTGTAATATCAAATCAGTTGACCAAAATGGAAAACAAGTGAGACTGAAATATGTTTGCTAAAACTTCCTCTGAGGGAATTATGCTCTTGCTTTAAACTACTGAAAAGTCTGTGTGCCTACTGGAGACATGAGGATGTTGTGCCTTGATGATTTTCTAGCCTTTTAGCTCAAAAGAAACAAATTGAAATTCATGTTACAAGTGTGCCATGCTACAGAAAAGTCATAGCCAAAGAAGACTTTGTGGAGTCCTTGAAATTAATTCCTAAGAAAACTTTAAAAGATAAAAGTAGCCCGAGAAAAGAGAATTAATTATGAGAATTAACAACCAAGACTATCCATCCGCATACTCTATTAGAGTCAAGGAATATAGTGATAGAAATTGTATGAAAAATAAGAAATAATTCTTAAAGAAACAGGGGGTGTGGAAAGGAATCCCAAAGGCTCTAAAGGAAATATGTCTAACAGTATTTTAAATGCCACAGCAGATTTCCCCATGCAAATTCCGAACAGGACAAGATGGACAAAGGATAATACGTATATTAAAGATCAACATACTAATTTATACATTCTGAATATTGATTTTAATAAGAGAACTTAAATCTGAGGATGACTTACTGTCAATATATCCCAGCCTAGAATCTTTTAGGTACACATAACTCTCTCTAAAAGGCAGTGCCTCATATGACTTCAGGTGGTTTCATTTATTATGTTCCATACATAGTTTTAACTAATTTATAAAATGAGGTAAGAATGAGTGATCCCTTTAATTCTTCTGAATTGCAATATCAGAGCTATAACACTCAGATATCTGAGTTTTAAATGCCCCCCCCTTTTTTTCTTGAAAAACAAGGCTTTCTTGACCTTGTTTTGTTTGTCTACTTCTGATAGTGATCCAAGTACCAAAAATGTGTGACTCTCCCCTGTACATCAAAAGCGCCTGATTAAAAGTGGTAACAGTAGGAATACAGCCTAGGGATCTGGTGCTTCCTTTGTGTTAGTCAATATCCCAAGCAGTGGAAGTAAATTGCCCAAGGCTACATTGTAGTAATTGGTGTAGAGTCAGGGTCTGCCAGTCTGACCTCAAACCTGAGAAACTGACAAGTACATTTCACCGGCTACTTAATTTGGGAAAGCAAACTAAATTTAGTAAAGTAAAATGAGCAAGCGCTAAAAGAAATTGCTTCCATGTTGAAGGGAAAGAGGGAGAGGGTGGCATAGTAGCATAGTGGCCCCCACGATGGAGCAGCCTTGGCTCAGTGGGATGGCAGGCAGCAGGGCAGGCCTGAGCTGCTGGGTCCTTCACAATTTTTTTTTTAATGGTTAGCTAAACGTCCAGATTTACATCTGAAGCCTCTTGATGTATAATTACTGTCACTTATTTCATCTTTTTTCGCAGTCTTTATGGTTTGAAAGGTGAAGGGCCACATTCTCGGGGCAGGGACTGTGTCTCATTTAACTTTGTAACCCAAATGCCTAGCACGGTGCCGGCACATAGTAGGTACAAACAGGCTGAGGATGGCAGTTAAAAATCCCACCATTTAATCTTGGCTGTTTTGTAATCCTGGCAGGAATTCATTAATTTATTCAAAAAATATTTAGTGGGCTACTACGATGTACCAGTTACTGCTCAAGGGATACAATAGTGGAAAAAATGAACAAAATACGGAAACATTATATTCCATTTTACTGGGAAAAGGCCAGAAGAAAAAAAAAACCCTTAAAAACATATAAACTCAGGTGTAGAGGAGGTCTGGAAAATAAAAAAGAATAGATTGCTTTGAATTGAACCAATGCCTCCAAGAGCTAAAAAATATGATAGTTAGATACAAAAGTCCATGCTTTCTAGTGCCATACTGGTCACTGCTCCACAAGTATGTTACAAATGTGTAAGCAATTTAAAGGAAAGGGTATTCTTGAAAGAGAGAGTGCTTTCTTGAGAAGTAGAACAATACGATCTTGCTTCTTGGCTTGAAAGGAAGTATTGATCATTAGTGAGTCAAAGGTTAATAACTTGGGCCTGATTACTTCTGTTATCAGCCTCATGATTAATGGTGTCCTCTGGCTCTTTGTAAATACAGGAACCTCTTTTTGATTGCTTTTTACTGGGAACCAAGGAATTAGCTATTCTCTTGTGACTGGGTTGCAAGGGGCTGGGGGTCCTGCAACAGCGGGACAATGGTACCAAGGCTCCCATAGACAGAGTGCAGGGCAGTTACCAAAAATGCAAACTTGGAACAGGAATCTAATTGGCAACCGTAAGGTAAAATACTAGCTCTGACATGTAACGCTTGCTCTTATGTATTATCATTCCACAAGACCACATGCTGAGTTAATAGAACTTCTGCTTCTAGTTTGCTTTGGAAACGGATGTAGTTTCAAATTGCCCAAATGGCACAATCTGGCTGGCGCTCTGAGACAGCTGCTGGGAATTATAGACAGGACAGCTACACTAGAACCGTTTAAAAAATGAACAAACTTGGCCCATGCTTTTTATCAAAACACACACACAAATATATACACACACACACACACATATATATATATATTTAGTTAGTCATAATCTGAGTACTTACAGCCAATGATTATGTTCAGAAAGAAAATACCCCAAAGATAAATGCCAGTTTATATCTTCAAGGACCCTTTAAAATAATATGCACAACTCCTACAGCTGGAAACAATGTTGTTTTTTCACTGTCTTTATATAAAAATGAGATTTCATTCAACCTGTTATTTTTGAAAGAAACAACATTTTCTTTGTTGGCCAAGCCCAACATAGATCTCTTGCCAATGTAGTTTGTTCTTCTCATGGATACTAGCCAAAAAGATATTCCCTGAAATAAAGTCACAGTCTGTTGAAAGCCTCACAAATCAATTAAATTAGGAAACAGAAGTAATCATCATCACACAACTAAAGTTAAAAGTATGAGAAAAAAAGAAATGATTAAAAATAAACATGATGAAAACACACCACTCAAAATGCCCACTTGTAAAGAAAAGCACTCATCGATGGATCAGTCACATTTACACAAATGAAACTTCCCCAAATATGTATCAAACATTTTAATAATATTTGATATTATAACACTTTTATAATACTTTTGTCTACCCATGAAAACATTTTTGTTTTAGATAATGAAAGTTTCCTTGGCCTTGATCTTGCATCAAATGGATGATCAGATAGAGTAATTTAACATAGATCCCTGAGTAAATCTGAAATGTACAAGATGAGATGCTTATAGACTGCTTTTGACAAAAAGGAAATATATTTGCATTGACAGCATGGAGTTGACATTAGCAGTAATCAAATGACACCAATGCATCTATACAATTGAAAGGTTTTAACATGTAGAAATAAGTGTCTTTAAAAGTCTACTGAGGTGTACTTTTTAGAGAATTTCTCAACCTACATTTTACCTCAGGCATGCAGTTACTGAACAGGCTCTGAAAAGGAGTATTCTGAGGATTTAGGGTTATGTATTTCAATGTTTTCTTTTAATGTGCTGCTTGTGTTTCATTCGGAATATTTCTTAATTTCCCGATATTTTATAGGCAACTTTGGCCGAATGAGGGCTATATATATATATACACATGTCTATCCTCAAGTCATATCAAGAATGCAATCCCGCTGCTAATCTCTGCTAGCCAACGACTTCAGCTCCAGCTGGTGGAGCCTTCGAGCGTTTTCCACCTCCAGTCAAAGACAATGCAGAGAACCCCAGGCTTACTCATCTAGTCCACCAAAACTTGAAACAATCAAGTGACGGCGGTCGTGCGCCCCGGCAGAAGGCGCAGTTGCACGGCGAACCCCCCCAAGCCCAGCGCGACTGCGCCGCCCTCGCGGGAGCGGCTCGGGGTACCTGCTGAGCGGGTGGCTGGCGGCGGCCCGGGGCGCGCAGCGCGACTCGGCGCTGGGGGGCTGGGCGCGGGCGTACGAGTGGTAGGCGGTCAGAACCACGCCGCCCGAGTCCTCCACCTCCATCGTCAGCCGCGCATGTCTCGGCGCCGGCCCCAGAACAAAGACCGGGACCAGCATGGACCGGCGCGCCGGGAGGCTGTCAGCAGCTAGGCGGCGGGGCCCGAGGTGCGCTCAGCCGCTCTCTCCCGCGGCTGTCAGGGCCCCGGGGCAGGCAGCCCCGCCCCGCCCCGCCCCGCCCCGCCCCAGGCCGGCGAATTTGCAGACGCAGGGAACCACGCCCACCGGCAGGAGTGGGGGCGGGCGTTGTGTGCGTGTGTAAGTGCGCGTGTGAGCCTGTGTGTGAGTTCCTGTGTGTGTGCGCGCGCGTGCGTGTGTGCCTGTATCTGGGTGTGTGTGTGGGTGCCTGTTTGTGTGCCTGTGTGCGCGCGCGTCTGTATACGTGTGTGCGTGCCTGTGTGCCTGTGTGTGAGTTCCTGTGTGTGCGCGCGCGTGCGTCTGTGCGTTGTGCCTGTATCAGGGTGTGCGTGTGGGTGCCTGTTTGTGTGCGTGTGTGCCTGTGTGTGCGCGCCTGTGCGTGTCCGTGTGAGCGCCTGTGTGTGTGTGTGTGTGCCTGTGTATGTGCGCCTGTGTGTGCGTGTGCGCGCCGGTGTCGGGAGTGCGGTGGGGAGGCGTGATCCCTGCTTCTAGGAAGCTGGGAACCGGCCAGGCTCCTGCTAGCGGCCTAGTAAAGTTTGTTTTTCTTTGTTTCTTTTTTCCCTTTTCTCACTCCCCCTCCCAGCCCCCTTCCAACAGGAGGCTTATCCTGTGGCTGGGAACATTTCCTGCCAGGCTGCAAGGAGTGAGACTGAGAAACCATCCCTCAGGCTGAGGAGAGAGGCCGGGTTTGAAATGTGTGCTTTGGGAAAGAAAAGGAGAAAATGTGGCACTCTCCCATTTAAAGCATCCACATCAAAAATTGAAGAACTGGATTACATTGCTGTTTACTTAGTCAAGTTACAGTAAACTTGATTTCCTTTCAGATCAGGTAATTCCCTCTTACAGCAAGGGAACACTTACCTCCCACACCCTCAATACGCCACTACCAGACTCTTACCTCACTCTCACATCCCTTTCCTTCCCTCAATCATGATCAAATTAACAGATACCGTCCGCAACTTGTCTGAAAAGTAGACTTTATTATTATAGGCCAAATGGCTGTTATTTCCAGAAGTTATTTCTGATGGGGGAGGATGTAGGTACTGGTGCAAAGTAGATAAAAAGGGGCATGCTTAGAAATCTTGAGTCTGAAGTATGTCCTTACCCACATAGGACTAATAACACAAATGGAAAAACAACCTTCTTACAGCTGATTAAAAAGTAACCAGGAGTATGCCTAGGAAGAGGCCGACATGAATGTTTTACTCAACCGACAATGTGTTTTATCTACTGTCTCTTCCACACATCTCTGGGAACTAGGTGGAGTGGAAAGACGAGTTAATTTAATCCCTTACTGGAGGGCGACTTGATCATGCTGCTTAACATCTCAGAATCTCTGTTTCTGCATCTGTGAAATGGGGAAAATAACATTCATCTCGTGGGATGAAAGGACCAAGTATTTGTTAGGTTCTCAAGGAGTGGGGGTACTCGTTGCTCTTTACATTCATTAAGAAGGGACATATTTATTTTCATTGCACTTTCAGAGGTTGGGAAAACATAAGTTTTTCATCCCAAATGCTTTTTAAAAAATGTTTTGTTGATTAAAGGGGTGAGATAATAATGACTAAATTTGCCAACATACTACGTGTTAGACGGTGTACATTAGCTCTTTAAACAACTCTGTGAGGTAGGTAGTATGATCATCCCAATTTTGTGGATGAAGAAACTTACCAAGCATGAGTGTAGGGAAAAGCCACATACAAAGAATGCTTTATTCTCCAAAATTTTCAGATAAAAAGAGGATCTGTTTACTTACAGTGCTTTATGCCAATGCATAAAACTGAGATAATACCTTCTTAAACTGTGAAATTTAAAAACCACTGTAGATATTGATATATATCCACACTTCTTCATCTAAAACCTTGGGAACAGATACATTTCAAAAATTATATCTATTTTTTATTTTTAAATGATAATTTGATGCATGCCCCATTTAATTAAAAAAACCCTCAGCCTAGAGAATTTGGGACAGTATTGTATATTTAAATGTATTATTTCTGCAACAAAGATAAATGAATATTGACTTTGAGTAGGATAAAGTCTATAGATAGCTTCACATTTGTTCAGGTCAGGTTTATCACCTAATAAGTTTGGGCACCAAACTTCGTAAAAACTTGCAATTTTTATCTTATAGAATTTTAGAATTACCATAAGGAATTATAGTAGCAGAACTTTTTCTGGGCGTGGAACATTCTTCTTTTATTTTTCTGAACTACAGACTCACAATATGAAATACCTGCAGGATCTTTGCTTGTAAACACTTTGACTATAACAGGGACTCTAGATGCCCCGCATTGCAGTAGTGCCCCATCCTGCCAGTTACAGAGCCCTCCTCGTCTTGTGAATTCACCTTGTGGACACCCTGGCTTCACTTGGGACTCCTCCCTCCACTCAATGATCAAATCTGTCATTTCTTCCTCAAAATGTCTGCCCACCATTCTGTGAATTCCTACTGCTAATGTCTTTGTCCTCTCGTCACCATCTCCTTACTCGGTGACCACAAACATTCCTTCACTAAGATTACTTTCCATCAGCTTCCTCTTAAGCCCCTCCCCCTTTCAAAATTCTAGTAGGATGATTTTCCTAAAATGCGGAACATCCTCTTCTCAAAAGCCCTCGATTGTAACCCCCTTACTACAAATTGAAGTCCAAACTCCTTAGTATGGCCTCTCTTTAATCTATTTTGATCACCTAATACTTCATCACTCCCAAGGCCTTGTGGCCCACTTACACCAGCCTGTCCTGTGATCTCACTTTGTCTTTGCCCCTACCTATTATTTCTTGTCTGGAAATGCTGAAAAACCCTCTATATACCACTATAAATCCTCTCAGGTGTTCCTAATTCAAAGTAATCCCTCCTTCTGCCATTCTGTGGAAATTGTTCTTACTTTCATTATAATAAATAATTTCATTTAATAATTTCTGCCATGTAATTAAAGCACAATCAGCCAAACACTGTGCTGTGTGCATTTTCCCTGGCTGTACCCATGTCAGATATTGCTAACAGAACTTAATACTTTTTTCCACTGAGCCCAGATATGGCCAGGAAACCAACCTCAAAATAGAAACCCAAATGAGCAAGACAGCTTTGAGATGAAACTACTTGCTAACCCAAGATTGTATTACTATTTTCCAACAAATTAGTGTCTTTTACTAAATTGTAAGCTAGTGGAAGGGCTAGTGTCATGTTTTTGTGTTTATAGCCCAGAGCCTGTAGTATTTTGCAGAGCAGGCATTCAATAAGGATTATTTTTTGAAAGAATGAACATATGAATCAATGAGTGAATCAATGAATGAGATAATACTATTTAGTGTGGTAGCTTCAACCTTGGAGAGCAGCCTAGTGTAGGGTCAAAGGGAAACCTCTTTGCCCTCTGAAGTTTCACTGAAAAATTAACTCATGAAAGGCAGATTAATTGGAGAAAAGGCATAAAATGTATTTAGTGTGTAAACTCAGGAGCCTTCAAAATGAAGACCCAAAAGTATAGGGGAAATTGTTGAAACTATGCTTAGTTTGAACACAGTATGGATAGCCATGCAGAAATATGATTGGACAAAAAGAATATTATCTAATGCCAAAGACTGAGTGGAGAAACCCAGCAAAGCCTGTCTGTCTTGATTCTTGGCCTCTCTGAGCATGCATTTTTTCCTTTAGGGTATGGGGCAGGACTCTCTCTGGAATGGGGGGGTCTTATAATCTACAGTCAAACCAAGTATGTCAGATAACTTCTTTATGGCCAATTTTTACACAGAACATTGGAGGAAAATGTGCGGTAATGTTTTCACGGTTTATGGCTGTCTTTGGGGAAAAGAGGTTCTGGTTTCTATGACCCACCTTCAAAAGAGAGATTCTAGTTTCTATGGCTAGAAGATGAGACTGAGAGACTGGGAGCTAAAAATGTCAGAAAAAACCTTTCGCTTCCAAGACTACTCCTAAGACCCTCATTTTGGGCTATTGTTTTCTGAGCTCCAATATCAAAGCATTATTATAAATGACTCATAAGTCACTATGGCACTAAAACTGCAAACCAAAAAAAAGTTGACATGTATATATGAATATTTTTCCAATGAATCTTTATGCTGTTGACTTAATAAAATGCAACTCTTTTAAGCATTCTTGAGTTTTGGCTTTTAGAAAGATGGTAGAGTTCCCATATTGGACGTTATAGAATATACTGTGCAAGCTATTTCCATTAGCTCTCCAGATCTACTGGCCAACATCACTACCGTGCTTATACCCTGGGTGGCTCACCGTGTGGTCTACATCTGTGAACTCCCTTGCCTCTGGCTTCAGTGAGGGTTCGCTAAAGAGAGGCACCAGCAGAAGATCTAGAGGGAGGGGGAAGTAAGGTTAGGTTCTGACTTCCCAGGTTTCTTTCCTATTTTGCTGCAGGTGAGATCCTTCTACCTGCTACTCCTGACTGCAACCCTCTGCTATGCTGCTTTCTCCAAATTAAGGTAACTCCTGCCTCTACCTGGCCCTCCTGATCTAGGGGTGGTAACAGCTCCTGGTGCATGTAGTACTCACTCCTTCTGCTGTCCTCCAGCATCCCTTATGGAGGATTCCTTTGCTCCGGCCAGGCCTTTATGAACAGTCGCTTTAATAAACTCTCTTTATTCACCTGGGCTGAATGCCCCATCTCTTTGTGCCAAGACCCTGATTGATAGACACCCTGCTGCCCCAGGATGTAGGGCAGTGTCCCTCACACTATGAGGGTCAAATGCAAACTATAAATAGCCTCATGTCAGTTCAGATGTTTTGTCACAGAAAAAGCTCAGGTCAGAACAGGATTTGTAGTCAAATGAGTTATAAAAAAAATGGAATCAAATTTGAGAGTTTCCAAATTTCAACATTCAGACTTAATAGAGTCTGTTAACATTCTTAGCATTCCAAACAATGCTGGGATCCACTGTGTTAGGGGATGACAGCACAGGGCTGTGACAGCTGGCCGGGCATTGGAGTCAGTGGTGGCCCTGGGGAAGTTAAGCTTCCCAACACTGGAGAGTGGACATGCAGGGCACAGAAATAGCATTTTCAGTTTATTTGGAGTAAGGGCAAAGATAGAGGGAAACTTATGGTTTCCTGTGCTGCCCACCTTTGGATGCCATACAGTGCCCAGCACTGGACTGAGAATTGAGAGACTTGGATGACAGTACCAACTGTGTCACCAACATGACACCCCAAGAAAGTAGCTGAACTGTAGACCTGTTTTTTCACACGCATAAGAAATAAAACAGCCTACATGTACTGAATACTGATCATGTGCCTAGTTCTGTTTAAGACATCAGAACATCAACTCATGAGAGGCTCGCAGCAGCCTTTGATGTGAGATAAGTATCACTGCGGGCAGCTCCATGTTATAGTTGAAGAAACTGGCTGTAGTAACTTCCCAAGGTTACCCAGGCTAGGATGTGACAAAGCTGGGCTTCAAACCAGGGAATCTAGCTCCTGAATTTAGGCCCTTAGGTATTATATTTGTCTTTTATGAAAGGTTTGGTGAGATTCAAAATACATTCCCCCTTGTAAAGTGTAATGAAATGGGCAGGATTTGATTTATGTTTCTTTATGGTAGCTTTTCATAAACCTATTTGGCATATTGGAGGGTAACCATCACTAGCATGTAATGATGATGACGGCAATAACAGGGAAGGGAGTCACGTGAATTTTCAAGGCGCAATATTAAGGTAGTTCAAAATTGCTAAGGCAGTTCCAAATTATTTTCTCTTTATATATGTGTGTATAATTATTGTCATTTACTACTCTTAGAATGTGTTGAAGGATAATTCCATTTTTCATTCTGCCTTGTAAATGTGTCAGTGGATACACATAAATAAGGCATTAGAGAGAAGCGAAAGATGTAACCACAGTGCACAAAGACTGCACTTTCTAAATGAACGTGAAGCAGAGTGGTAGCCAAGAGAGAAGGCAGAGTTGAGTTTGAGCTTGATTATGATTTACCACTTACTGGCTGTGTCACCTTGATTTCTCTCTGTTTCCACTTCCTAATTTGAAAAATAGAGACCAATAATATCTTCTCAAAGAGTTGATGGGAAGTTAAAATGAAATCACATCTTCAAGACACCTATCCCAGTGCTAAGGATACCCTAGATGCTCAGTAGATGTTGGTTCCCTTCTCTCTCTTTCACTCTTCCCTGTCACCTATCCTCTGTCTCAGCCCTTCTGGAAGTATGATTTGAGTTCAACCCTCAAGAGTAAAGAATTTGGACCCAGGAATTCCAAAGGTGTCTCACAACCTTTGCTGAGAGATGAGTCAGACTCAATTTACATGATGAAACCTACCTGGGGAGGCCTCGCGAACACTGGCCCCCAAGTGCCACCAGCTGCATGGGTTATGAAGTCTGGAGATATTCCAACATATTCAACCCCATCAGGAAAGGCAAGAAAACAAAACATTTATGCAAAACTTTAATATGGACAAAAGAAAAGTGCCTCTTGTGGCCTTGGCTGCTTATCTGGTAAAATTGCTGCTAGGATAATCATTTCATACCAGAACAGGAAAACAGCTGCAGCCTCATGAGTCCGTGCAGCCTCTGACTGACATTCCCTTAGCAAAGGGGGTTGAGGGAACATAGTCACTGGCCCTATCTTGCAGGAAATGAAGGCACAATTCTTACCCACCAAAGAGAACACGGTAATTCTGCTTTTAGAACTCCACCTGCCAGGGTGAGGTGACTCATGTCTGTAATCCCAGCACTTTGGGAGGCAGTGGCAGGAGGATCGCTCGAACCCAGGAGTTCAAGACCAGCCTGGGCAACATATGGAGACCCCCATCTCTACAAAAAAATTTAAAAATTAGCTGGGCATGGTGGTGTGTACCCTTAGTCCTAGCCACACAGGGGGCTGAAGTGGGGAGATAGCTTGAGGCCAGGAGGTTGAGGCTGCAATGAGCCATGATCGCACACTGCACTCTAGCTCTCCCTCTTTGAGAGACAGCAAGATCCTGTCTCAAAGAAAAAACAAACAAACAAAACAAACAAAAAAAACTCCATCTTACATACATTATCAGTGCCCTCAAATGGAAAGACTGGTTTGAATTAGAGGGAATGAATATAAAGTTGCATTTATTTGATATAAAGAGAAAATACTTTAATGAGACAAGCATTTCAGAAGGTAGTGTGTAAATCTTTCATCATCAGGTCAGCTGGTAAATCTTGATCTGCTACCCTGAAATATTTTTCAATGTATTGACACTACTTGAGTTAAACAAATTTATTTTCTGGGTGTTCTGATGATGACACAGAATTTCTAGACTACATTGATTTTCCTCTTGCTTTCTTAGCATCTATTTTTAAAGAGAAATTAGGGCTTATTTTTCTTCATTAACTGTTTTGGGATCTTTGATCAATTTGGTAATTGGGTTAAGTAGATTATGTCACCACAAGAGCTAGCCAGCCAGGTCAAGACTTGTGTTATGTATGTGGTAGACATAACTGAGTTACTTAAGTGACTTCTCCAAATAAATTGAATCATTATTGATTGGAAATGAATCACTACTAATAGACCCAAGCAGGGTAGAGGAAAGGAACAGATCAGCCATGGCGTAAAGTTTTAATCTAAAAAACAAAACTTACATTATGGAATATTTCCTGCAATGCCACGTTTTGCAATTATATAAGGGCTTCATTCATTCACTCTTCCACTTATCCATCCATCCATCCACCCACACACCTACCCCAATAATTTACAATTGTTACTCATACCCACAATGCTAAGTACCAGGAATATGAAGATGAATAGAAATATGAAAGCACAGACTAACTGGTCTCTGCAAGCAGAGAAGGGGTTGGTGTAGAAGGTCACCAAAGAACACACTTCCCTAGGAGGTTATGTTAGAGATGCTCTTAAAAGATGAATGACAGTTGGCTAGCTCATAAGTAGGTGTGGGTGGTTGAGGCTATGTGAGGAAGGGCATTCCAGAGGCAGGTAATAGACTGAAAAAAGGCACAGAGAAGGAAAGGAAATGAAGCAGGTACAGGGAAGCCTTTTTAGTGTAGCTTTGCTGAAGAGTAAGGTGTAAGGGAGAAAACTCTGGAGACAAAGCTGGAGACAGGCAGAGGCCAGGCCTTGGTGCATCTGAATGAGCTGAAGAAGTTTAAACTTTGTTGAGACTTCAGATGGGGAATCCACTGAAGATGTCAAACAAGGTAGCACTAGAATCGACTTACGCTTTTAGGTATCCTTCTGGCTTTGCACCACCTGATCTTCACTCAGCATTTCTGACCTACATCTCCTAGGCTTCCTAACCTTTTTGGGAGAAGCGCATACACTAGAATCTGAGACAGAAGAAAACTGACTATAAATGGCCACATGCTAAGTCCCAAATTGAACCCTAAGTCAAAGTCCAAGATGGGATAAATGGAATTTAAATAGTTGTTGAAAATAAATGTAGCTTAAAGAATCACACAGGTCTCTCAGAGGGGAAGCTGGGGAAAGGACCCCGGCAATCCCCTCTCTCTGTCACCAGCTCATTATCTCGTAGCAGCTGCCTGTTTTGTTCTGGGTCACCCCGGGAGGGACAGACCACTTGACCTGGCAAGTGATGGGGTGAACACAGTAGGAGACGGTGAAGGAAGAAGAGGACAGTGAGAGGCTTGTGGACATGCAGTATGCAGGTCTACCAACACAGAGGGAAGGTTTATTATGATAATTATTGGGTTGTAAACCAAAGAAACATTTCTGATTAACCAAAACAAAGAAGAATGTTTTAGAAAGATCTGAGGAATAGCACAGGATTAAAGATTAAAGCTGAAAGACAACTCTTGGAGCAGGAATGAGAACACAGTCTTGCCAGGGTGCTTCCTAAAAAATTAACAAATTTTAACTTTTTCTTCTATACTTGCTTCCCTCTTCTCAGGAAACAGGGTTTCAGAATTGCGTCAGATTGGCTATGGTTAGGCCTCCACTTGGCAGTCACTGAATCTTAAGAGATGTGGTCTTCAGGGACTGCCTTGCCTGCTGTAATGATAAGATGGGCCCCAGGATCACATACTATGAGGAAGAAAGTCCCTAAGTTGACACCTTGGAGATTTCAGATAGTAGGAATGGATGATAGCAAATTAACAGTATTTATTACAGCAGGATTTGGTGAAGCCTCAGGGAGGCAGGGCTCACCTGGAAGCACTGAAAAAAGGCATAATCAGGACATAGATGGTAAAGATTTCCAAGATCTGGAAAGGGAAGCTGTACTTAGAGGATGAGATGAAGTGATGCACAGGGAGATAATACATGTGCCTATTTTGCAGTTTTGCCTCCACATGGCCCTGAATAAGGAGGGGTAATTGCCTGACAAAGTTGTTAAATCAAACAGACCTGGGATTTCATGATGAAAATAGGAAGGTTCAAATCCACATCAGCTAACTCCGGCCTCAAATATGGCTCAGACAGCATCATTCAATAAGACTTATATGACCTGAACTGAGTCACCTGGATCTGAAGATGTCGTAAGTATAATTTTAAAGTAAGCTTATACAAGGGGTGGTTAAAATGGTGAAGGGCAGGGTTTGGAGCAGGACAGATATAGGAGTTGTGCTGTGTGACTGTGAGTGATTACTTAATCTCTCTGGGACCTGATTTTTCTCATCTGTAAAATGAGATGGTAATACCTATCACACAGAGTTGTTGGCCATGATTTGAAAAGGCTAAGTTGTAAAACTGCTGTGTATATAATGCTAAACAAGCATGAGTTCTTTTTATTATGCTATGCATTCAAGAAATTATTATTTTATCTCCTACTTTGTTAGCAATACCTATTGGAAAAGATTCCAGGAGAATTCAAGAAATTCTAGCCACCATTAGTCAGCCAGTAAATATTTTTTAGTACACTCCAAAGACTAAATATTCTACGGAAAAGGTCATGACTGTGTTAACTTAAGTCATTATTTTGAAACAGAGCAGAATCAGGTAGATATCAGAAAAGGATGTTTGTTTGTCAGTTGAAACATTATTCAGTGATGTACCTAGTTATTACTGATTATAATTTAGCTCAAAAAAGTCCTGGAAAGCCTGAATGTCTCAATGTCACTAGGACATTGGCATGGCCCTGAAGAGGACGTCTCCTCTCACCACACTGGCATTCCAGATGAGGCATTTCTGGCTGGGATCTGAGCAGGCTACAGGCACACTCAGTATAGCATCTGGTACATAGTAGGCTTAAATAACCACTTCATGAATGAAGGAGCCCTCTCTGACTTCATCCTCGATTTCTACCTCTGTAAATGTAAAATGCAGCTACAGTACCATAGGTACTAGAAAATGAAACTACAGGACTGACACTAGAAAATGGAAGTACAGGACTGATACCTTACTATGGCTTTCTCAAAATGTATGAGAACTCGAAAATCACAGGAGAGCCTGCCAGTGGGCCTCAACACTAGATAATGTGATGATGTGTAAATTGTGCCCCCTGGAGTTGTGCAATGCAGCCAGTTGTAATGACTTTGAAGACAGGAGTGTAAGACGAAATTAGACAGTTGCTGTAGTAATAAAACTTCTGTTGAAGGGAGAGGACAAGTCTGATCACTGCTCTGGCACCTGCTAGCCGAGAGATCATATGCTACTTTTGTCTGTTTGTAATCCCTTCCTTTGGGGAATCCACACTAAAGCAGTTTAACCTCTGAGTGAGTAGGAATAATATAATATTGAGAAATACGAAAAGGAAAGCATGTGAGTAAACTTGGTAATGTTGTTTCACTGTATTTGTATCCCCAGAACCCATAATAGTGTCTGTTATATGTACTCTCAAGAAATGTATCATGTATAAACTTATGTTTAATATGTATCAATCAATCAATCAATCAGCAATCAATGAGTAAAGAGCTGCATATAGTATCCTTCCCACCCCGAATACTGTAGTTTTATAGTGAGGGAAGTAATTAGGGTGGGTTTTCCATTCAGTGGCAGCAACCAAATGACTCTTCTCAGGAATGCCCCAGCACTGAGCACATTCCTCTTTGCCAGGGGACCTGGAGGTGAAAACCAGAAAAGGAGGGGGAATTAACTTGTTTGTCCCATGTCTGTAGAGGATAATAGAGTCAAAAGAATGGGGCAGGTGCAGAAATAAAAAATCATGAAAGAAGTAGACTCTAAATGTCTGACGTTCCCTAGGTAAATTGCTACCAATCAAATTAATTTTTGACTTATATTTCATTTGGATCAGATTTGTGATCTGTAGATAACAGGTATTCATATAATTTAGGAAATGTACCCTTTCTACCATTGGCTCTTGAAATAAATTCAGAACAAAGAGATTTTATATTATTTGAAGTGCCGTGGTAAAGGGTATAATAATTCTTTCTCAAGTATCTCATCATCTTAAGCCTCTTTTCAGTCACTTTGAGAGAATTTTTTAGAAACAGCCAAGCCTCAAGTGACCATTTAATCCTACATATGATTGTGAAAGAGAGAGACACAATCATGTCATCAGATCCAAACAATGATTCATTATTTCTTTGTGTGAAGAAACAAAGTGTTACTTGTTTTTAGGGAACAAACTATCATGATTCTTAGTATCTAACTTTCATTCCAAATCCTCAGAGCTGTTTGTGAACATAAACTCATTTATTCCCACCTACCAAGCACCACTCAGAAGGAATTCTGATGGGATGAAGTTGTGTAATAATTACAAATATTGCAATCACAACGATTTACTGAGAATCCACTGTGATAAGTATTATATCATTTATTCCTTACATTGGAGGCTCAGAGATGTTAAGTTACGTGTTCAGGTTCACAGTATTAGACTAGAGGATTAAGAGGCAGCCTAGAGTAGTTAAGTCCCTAGATTCTGCTGCCAGACTACCTAGGCTGAATCCCACCTATAGCTCTTTCTAGGACTGTGACTTTGGGCAATCTAACATCTCTGGGCTTCCATTTCCCCTGTGCAAAGTGGAGAGGACGGTAAGAAGATAGTAATAATGGGACCTACTTCATAAGGCTGTGTGAGGACTGGGTGAGTCAAATGCTTAGAACAATACAGTGGCATCTAAAAATGCCACATAAGTGCTAGCTATTGGTATTACTCTTGTGGTTACAAGTAATGAGAATGCAACTCACACTAGCTTAGCAGCAAAAGAAGAGGTGGCAGCAGTATTTGCTTCAGACCTGCTTTACAACAGAGATTCCAATGATGTTCTTAGGAACCTCCTCAGTATCTCAGCCTTATTTCCCCTTAGCTTCCAGATATATCAGATAGGCTGTGTGGTCACAAGGTGGCCACCTGCAGCCCCAGGGATGCATTGTATTTACAGAGAAAGAAAAAGTTCTTGTTATGAAGATATGGCAGAGGTCCCAAGGAAGTGGCCCAGCTTTGGTCTCTTACCCATTCCTAAACCTAGGCTATAAGCCAGGCCAGGTCTGGGTCATGTGATAAACTCTGAGACAGAAGGGTTGAGTTTGCCCAATCCAAACCACATGGCCTGAGGACAGTGCCTGTATAAAGGCTCTCAGGGTGATGCCCCAAAAGGAGAGATCAGATAAAGACCAAACATATATGTGGTCTCCTGGCTAGCAGGTAACAGAGCACAAATTGGAATTGTCCTTTCCCTAACAGAAGTTGTATTACTACAGCCACAGGCCAATTTAGCCTTAACACTCGTGACTTCAAAGTCATTCTCACCAGGCTGCGCTGTACAAATCCATGGGCACAATTTACACAGCGTCACATTCTCTAGTTTTGAAGCCCACTGGCACTGTTCTCCTAAGACTTTTGAGTCCTCACAGTTTTTGAGAAAGCCATAGTAAGGTATCAGTCCTATAGTTTCATTTTCTAGTAACTACAGGACTGTAGTTACATTTTACATTTACAGGTATAGAAATTGATAGAGCTGTCACAGGTGGAATGGAGAAATGACCAAACCTTTGATGTTCAGATTTTGACCCCTGAGATTAGCTCTTGAAGAACATTCCAGAAACATTAGTCAAGAAAATCAGGCTTTCAATGACCAGAGCTCAGCACTTGAGATTTTCTAAATTCTAAAAACTTCCCATTAAGCCGGGCACTATGGCAGGCACTTGTAGTCACAGCTACTCATGAGGCTGAGGTGGGAGGATCTTTTGAGCCCACTAGTTTGAGGCCAACCTGGGCAGCATATGCAGACCCCATCTCAAAAAAAAAAAAAAAAAATCAAAAAGAAAACAAAATGAAACAAAAAATCTTCCCGTTAACATCTAGAACCAAAGTTCAGAAGACTGAATGTGGAAGATTTTTATCCACCGAGGGAAAGGCTTCAGACAGTGACGTCAATATCTCACCATTGCACTCTAGCCTGGGTGACAGAATGAGAGTCCATCTCAAAAAAAACAAAAACAAAAACAAAAATCAAACAAACAAAAACCAAAACAGAAAGTGATGTAAAGAGAAAGACAGCGTTGCCTCCACACAGAGGAAATCTGGGAGAGATGGCAAAGAGAAGAGTAAAGGATACTTTGGGCGTCTGTCTTAGAGGAAGAGGAGCTGTCATATCTGCTCCTTCCTGGGTTATAGGGTAATATGAGCAATAGGTTTGAGGGCCTGAGGCTTGAGAAGCTTCTGTGTCATCCCCACCTGAAACTCTGGAATGAGGCAACCCTGCAGAGACCTTAAGATGGCCTACACCTCCTGGAATCCTTTATAAACATACAGACGGGATCCAGAATTTCCCACAATTGCCAGCAAGAACTGACTGACAAACTCTTTGAGGAATCACTATTGTCCAAGATGAAATGACCTTGTAGCCAAGGGTCTCAGGGTTTCATTGCCCAAGCCAGGAGTCAAAAAGTAGTTCTAGCCAGGCCAACGGGAGATCCCTAGTGGGGACTAATGAGCAGTGGGAAATGTTGGAGTTCCTAAGGAGCATTGCTTATGCTAATAGAGGGAACAGGAGGTCCACCAGCAGTGGGGGCAGTGTGAACAGAGCCCCCTACCCCACCAAAAGCTAAAGCAGATATGCAAAGTTTGGAGGACAGCATCGTCTTCACAATGTCACATAATGTGCCCTGTGCTCAGGTACCATCTCACGACATAGAGTAGAAGACAAGAACCCATCACAAGGGAGAACAACTATGATAGGAACTTGGAACTTTGATGAGCTTAAATGCAAACTGAATTACTTTCTGAGAAAGCCTGCTTTAAATCGGAAGAGACTGAGCATCCTTGAAGTGATAGTCATAGAGTTAAGCTGAGTTCAAGGATATATGAATAAAGCTATATTTCTTATACATCTGATTTGTGACTCTATTAGAAAGGTAAAACCTGTTGGGTGAAGATGAATAAGATACATAAAATAAGAGACATTTTTAAAAAGGATAAGATGTAGGTAGCAGTGTGTTACAAGGGGGGCCATGGAAGCCAGAAGTTTTCTATATTACTATTTTGCATATGATTGGTATTGACATTTTAATGAATAAATACATTTCTTGCTTGTAAATTGGGCTTATGGGGCTGAAATGAAAATAGATGAAGCCTAGGGCCAGAGGTGCTAATGTCCTACTTCAGAAATGTGATGCCAATTGAGAAAAACAGAATAGAGTTGGATGAAATCCCAATAAACGGCAATCTAGTTAAGTGGAGAATGAGGCTTTATGAAAAGAAATATTAAGATGATAAATCAATTGAGAAACACAAATTTTTAACAGGCTACAGATTGAACTCTATCAGTTAAAATATATATTTAAAAAGTCGTCAGCCATTATTCAATCTCACTTGAAAAAAGTTAAAAAGTGAGTTGGATGACTCAGAGGTTTGATTCATTGTGCCAATTTTTTTTTTGACCCAATAAACCCCACATGATTTCAGAAGTGGCACAATCCCAGGTATCTGCATGTATTGTACATGCTAGGGGGTGGGCAGGGTTTTTGTTTACTGGTGTTACCCAAGGAATGTCCCAGCAATAGGGCATCTGTTTTCAGAACAGACATCAGTCAAGATGAGGTTTTCCTTCAAAACATTTTAAAACAAGATACTGAGAGAACCCGGATGCAATGGTAGAAGAATACTCATTCCCCAGTGAAACCACAGTATTGGGAAACTGTCCATGTGGAGCTTTCATAGAAAAGACTCAAAGAGCTACAAACTGGCACAAACTTGGACAGAACAAGGCTCAGGACTCAGAGTAGGCTTTGGGTGAATGTTTAAGAAATGGATTAATTTTGTACCAGAGACTTTGAACTAAGAAGCAGACATCTCAGGACAGAGCAGATTCTGAGTTATGGCAGCAATGTGGGACATGCAGCAGAAAAAGTGGCTGGAGGCAGCAATAAATCACAATGGATAAAGCATTGTCATCAGTTCCTCAGTGAAGAAGAAACAGATACCTGCATAATACATTCTCTGCCTCCTTTATAGTTAATTTTCCATGTACTAAATCATATGGAGATCTTATTATAGAGTGTGGGTTTAGTCATTCTCAATAAATGCTTTTGATGCTTCCATAAAAATCCAAGTTAAATATCCCTCTCTGCATGTATTCTGACTGGTTGTTAAAATCAAGTGTCTGGTAAGGAAGCACTTGCAGGATTCTTCTCTTTTTGATGAGTACACTAAATGGGCTATATTTATGCCTCTAACGCTCCCGTTCTCTATCATTTTTCCAAGTGTGCGAACTCATGGTGGTCCCGAATCTCCTATGTACCTAGGCTGGGGAATGTGGCTTCCTCCATGTACTGCTCCTGTGCAAGTCAGCATAGAAGCTCCCATAGCTGGGCCAGTGCTGTGCTGAAGCTGGGTTACACAGGCTCTGAAGAGCTGTTTGTTTTCACTCTTAGAGAGGACATTTATCTCTTTGTTGAAGAAATATGTACTTTCAGGACTCTGCCTATTGGCCCTTTGTTGCTTTTCATAGTTTAAAGAGAGCTTAGCTTAAAGACTGCTACAGGAAAGAGAAAACAGTAATAATCACTTTAGTTTTTTTACAATTGAAAGTGTTTTTAAGGCTGAATATGCACATATCGCATTATCTGTGCTAATCAAGAAAATCAGTGTGTTGATCCAAAACTTACTAGCAGCGAATTTAAAATTATTTTCACACATTTCAAAAGGATTTAAGTTTGTGATGTTTACAAGAAAATAATACCTTTTTTTTTTTTTTTTTTTTTTTTTTTTTTTTTTACTTTTTAAGACAACAACATAGCTCAGTGGTTAAGGGCACAGATGGGAGAATCAGAGTACGTGCATTTAAAACCACAAACTGCAACCTACCAGCTCTGTTAGTTGTTTAGATAACTTCTCTGCACTTAGTTTCCTTATCTGTGAAATGAGCATCATAATTGAATCTATTGCATTGAGTTGTTGTGATAATTAGACTGGTTAATATATGTAAAGCGTTTAAAACAGTGCTTGGCACACGGTGAGTGCTGTATAAGGTTTGCCATTTTCATGACTTCTGTACTACCACCACTACAATTGCTGCTGCTGCTGCACCTGCATAAAGTAGTGAATTCATTGACCTAGAGTTAGTAAAAGTAAACTGCGAAAAGAATCCTCACCTTAGAGTCATTCACTCTGTTGCAGAAAAAATTAACTTACCAGAGATCATACAACTTCCCTGTTGAAATTCAAAGCAGACGTTACATCTCCTGTGATATATTCTATTGTAAAGTTAAATGGCTTCTTTCTGACCTTGAATTATACTTGGATACATATCTTAGTAAATTAGTCAATCAGTTTCCAGAAGCTATATGGTTCTTTATGAAAAAGAATGCTTTTTCATAAAAGAAAGCACTTTTCGCAAGAGCACAGTGGCCTGTAATCCCAGTGCTGTGGGAAGCCAAGGCAGGAGGATTGCTTGAGGCCAGTTCAAGACCAGCCTGGGTAACATAGTGAGACCCTGTCTGTAAAACAGTCAGCCAGGCCTGGTGGCGCATACCTGTAGTTGCAGGTACTTGGGAGGCCAAGGCAAGAGGATGGCTTGAGCCCAGGAGTTTGAGGCCACAGTGAGCTATGATCGTGCTAGTACGCTCCAGCCTGGGTGACAGAGTCCCTGTCTCTCTCTCTAAGAAAGAACAAAAAAAAGAAGAAGAAAGAATATTTTCTCCTACTACAGGTGTATTGTCCAACATGCAACATGGCAGCCACCAGCCACGTGTTTATTGAGCATTTGACATGTAACTAGTGCATATTGAGATATGCCGTAAGTGTCAAAACACATGCCAGATGTGGAAGATTTCATTTGAAAATAAAACATAAAATGCCCCATTAATAATTTTCCATTGGTTAAAAGTTTAAATGATAACATTTTAGATATATTGAGTTGAATAAAATATTAAAATTAATTTCACCAGTTTCTTTTCACTTATTTTAATGTTTCTAGAAAACTTAAAATTATATATGTGGATTGCATTATATTTCTATTGGACAGAGCTGCTTTATACAAGACAAATCTTCATGTCCAACTTTGAAAGCTGAAAACTTCGTTCCATTTAATGAGTCTAGAAGTGTTCTTTGCCTCAGTGAGGGGCACTATCATCCACCTAGTCTTCCAAGCCAAAAACCTGAAAGGTGTTACTGACTTTTCCTCTTCCTGTATTCCCCACTCAATAATAGTTGACTCATTTTCACATCTGTCTGTCTCCATCTCTTCTACCAGTGCAGGCCTCACCGTTCAGATGCAGATAGGACAAAAGCCTTCACACCAGTCTTCTTAGGTACCAGTATTGGCTCCCCCAAATCCTACCTCTACATTTCTGCTAGAGTAATATATCTAAAACACAAGTCAGATCATGCCACTCCACCAGGAAAAGCCCTTCCATTGGTCCCTATTACCAAGTTCACTAGTATAACACACCAGCCTCCCTGCTCCCCAGCTTGGACAGTGATTACTTATCAGCTTCATCTCCTTTTATACACTGTCTTTTGAAGTGATATAAAGAAATTCTTAAGTATGCATATTTTATTGGGTGCTGGGTTGCAATGGGGGTTGGCGAATAACAGAATGAAGAGGAAGATCTGAACAATAGCATGAAATGATCACTTATTATATGTACTAACTCATTAGTAATTTGGGTTTGTTTTTTTTTTTTAGACAGACTCTCACTCTGTCACCCTGGCTAGAGTGCACTGGCGCAATCTTGGCTCACTGCAGGCTTTGCCTCCCAGGTTCAAGCGATTCTCCTGCCTCAGCTTCCCAAGTAGCTGGGATTACAGGCACCCACCCCCGGCTAATTTTTGTAGCTTTAGTAGAGACAGGGTTTCACCATGTTGGCCAGGCTGGCCTCGAATTCCTGACCTTGTGATCCACTCACCTTGGCCTCCCAAAGTGTTGGGATTACATGTGCGAGCCACCATGCCCAGCCTTAATTTTTTTGAATGAGATATTAAACACAGATTCAACATCTAACTGGATGTCCTGGCCAATGCATTAAAACAAAAGTGGAGATCATTTATATGCTTGTATCAGACAGATCTTACTATAGCTCCTGTAATATCCTCAGAACCATGGCCTCCTAGACCTACAGAACAGGAAAATTATATCAAAGTTGTCAAGTTGCTATGACCAGTAAATGAAATCCTATATAAAAAGAGTTTAACATAGTGCCTGGGATATAGTATATATTTAATTCATAATTACTGTTAAAAATAAACTGTGGCACATTAAAATATTAAAGAGTTTGAGCAAATAGTAATGTGTGACGTAGACGACTCCAAACCACAAGTAGTTCAGTACTCCACAGGGAAGGCTTTTTTTGATAGGGTGAACTCAGAAGCAAAGGCTAATAAAATATTTAATTGGTTAAAGTAAAGCAGTAGTCTTCCTTGGATCATTCCATTGGAAATTTCCTGTTAGAGGTTGGTTGGTGGTTTCTGACTAATGGTTAAGCGTAAGTTTCCTTTTTCAGTGCACAGTGTGTTGGGTTTCACTTTGTTTAGGCAAGACCCTAGAACAGGGGAGCCGCCTCAGTGAAATGGTCTCCCAGTTAACTATTTTAACATCACTTTCTAGCTTTTGGCTCACACCTTACTTTCACTAACCCCATCTCCATCAATAAAGATCTTTAGGTGGCAGCCTAGGAGGTGAAACTTTAAAAAATAATGGGTAGATTAAGCAAGAGATCACTTGCAAAGCCTTTATCCAGATCACAGACCGCTGATTACTGTGGAGCTTAAATAGATGTTATTGCATGGAAAAACCTTATTTGTTGAGAATAATGCAGACAGAAAACAGCCAAAGAGGCAAAGTGAACAATAATTAGGAAAAAAGGAAAAACACTTTATGTCTGCCTTCCTGACAAATTAAACAAATAAGAAAGAAGAAACCATGCGATGGCCATTATTTATCTCTATATTTCAAAAATTATGTATCACAATGTTTGGGGACATATTGGAAGATTTCAGTTATTGACATGAAAATTCCATCTTGTTGAAAGGTAATTTTTTTTTCTGGCTAATATTTTCAATAACTATCCTGCTCAAAAACTAACTTTACTCTCGTTAGTAAATTCTAGAAATTAAAATGTAATTATATATTGACTGATTTAAACATTTATTTAAAAACCAGTAATTATAAAAACATCATTGGCTCTTTGATGAAAATTGCCATGTTCACTTGAATAATTCCTGTTTTCCTTCAGGGGTGAAGAGTTGAAATTTTTCATCTTTAAGATTAAAAGAAATTTTTGACAGTTGTCATCCTTATGACCTAAGATTTGTACTCAGTCTGATGGATGATTTGAAACAAATCATCAATAATTATTTGTACTATTACCAAAATTAAGATTCATTTACAAAACTGAATTTCTCCATTCTGTGACTGTCAAAAACAAACATTCTGATATATTGTTTAATAAACCAACAGTATTTATGCAATCTGGAAGTCTGAAGAATATTTAGAACCCATCAGGCTGGGAGCAGTGGCTCGCAGCTGTAATCCCAGCACTTTGGGAGGCCAAGGCAGGTGGATCACCTGAGGTCAGGAATTCAAGACCAGCCTGACCAACATGGTGAAACCCCGTCTCTACTAAATACAAAAAAAAAAAAAAAAATTAGCCGGGTGTAATGGCTGGCACCTGTAATCCCAGCTACTTGGGAGACTGAGGCAGAAGAATCGCTTGAACCCAGGAGGCAGAGGTTGCAGTGAGCAGAGATGGTACCATTGCACTCCAGCCTGGGCAACAGGGGTGAAACTCCATCTCAAAAAAAGAGAAAAGAACCCATCTAATCTGCCTTCAGACTCAATTTAGCCATTTCATTGAATTCATCAAGAGATTTTTCCCTTTTGTTCTCAGATCTAATACATCCGACTTTCATCTAATGCTTGCATAGCCCTTACACTTCCTATAAGTTTAACCAACAACGTGACACTACTGACTAACTTGCCTAAAAGGATGATTTTCAAAGTCAAAATTCCCCACTTTGGGAAAGTTCTGGCACAGGGCAGGACTTACTATAACTGGATACAGATTACCCAGATTTCTGGAAGATTTAGCATTTACTGCTCCCACTT